AAAGCCTGGCTCCCGATCGTGTCGGATCACCTCGCTCGCGCCAAATCACATATCCCGAGAATAGATCCACGATAATCAGCAGTTCAGTGTTGCCGTTGAAGGATCTAGGCATTGAAGGTATGTGATCCATGGCAATGATCTGAAATGGGTATGTTGCCTGAAGGTTGCCAGGTGACTCGCCCTGGATCCGAGGCCTTCCCTTGCCTGTTTCACAGTGGACAAATTCCTCCACATATCGCTGTACACTCTTATACAGACCTCTCCAGTGGAAATGATCACGGATCCGATCGTAGGTGCGACCGACCCCTTGATGACCACCCTGTAGATTCGTGTGATAGTGATGCAAAATGTCCTGTTGAACCGTCTCAGGTACCATCAGTCGCATCAACTTATCTCCGCAGCAGCTTCCTTAGTTGTCGGACAATAGAAGAGTAGATCCCACTCATCCACCTCATAATTCATAGCAATAGATCCAAACATCTTAGCCTCTTCTTGTGTCAGATTCCGGATCTCCCCGACCAAATATTTCTTCAAGCCTATGATCCACGACTCCTCGTCCTGTGCTTGTCGGATCCGCTCGATCCGCAGCTCTCTCACGACTTCCTCTCGTAAGGATTCTGGATCAGCACCAATACGCACTCCCGATCTAGCCTTAGATTGGGTCGTCACAGCTGATATCTGTGCGATCTCTTCTTCGACTTTCACTATCAGGATCTCATCCAACCGATTCAAAGTTATGAGATCCTGGATCTCCGTGTCAGACTCTATCTCAATCCCACATTGCCGTTGCAGAGCAGCACTAGGCTGTCTGCACTCCCGTTCCAGTCTCGTTTGACATGTAATAGTTCATGGTCTGGCCACGTACGTAGTCGCTCCAAGGCTCGCTGCCGTAACAGTGTCAGACCCGGCGCCTTACAATCGATCTCTCCCCGTACTTGTCGGATCACCAGGTTTGAGTCTCCGCAGATCACCAGACGCCGTGGATCCAGATCCTCCAACAGATCTAGACATTGCAACATCCCATGGGATTCCGCCTCGTTAACCGTCAAGCCCTCGGCGTACATCGATCTGGCTTTCAGCACCCTCCATTTGGGCAGCTTCCACAAGATCGCGCTGTAGGCGCCTCCACCTCTCTTGA